GGACAACATGGACAGGCTGCTGACTGGCTACAGCTGCTAAAGGAGAACCCTACGCTGGACGCTTGTGATATTTTAAACATCTGGTATTTTTACATAAATTGTTATGGCTGTATTGATTTAAAAGCAATATTGTGGTGGGTCCACCAGACCACTGATTAACACACACATCAACATCACACAAGGGTTAAGATTTCAGAGTTCGGATGTTTCTGTAACATTATTCTGTATATAAAGTAGTATATTCTGTATTTTAACCTACTGTAATAAGGCGTTTTAAATTATATTAAAGGCCAGTTTCCTGGACATGGATTAACCCTAGTCTTGGAATAAACTATAATTTTATAATAAGCCTTTTAGTCTGCATTTAAAGGTCAACCTAATGTTTTTCAACTCTATCTGATGCGTCTGTAGCACAGTTCAGTGCAGCATCCAGTACAGACAGTAATTTCTCTGTACTTAGTAAAAAAAAAACAGAAAAATAATTGACAACACACTCTTACAAAAGCCAGTGGGCAGTTTCCTCCTGGCTCCTCTTATAAGCGAGCTTCAAGTACCAACAGTATCTACTGAAGCAGCAGACGGTTTTCTGTTCTTTTCTAAGTAGGAAAATGTAGGAATTATTGTTTGTGGTGATCTACTGTACGTTACAGCTGGATGCAGCTGAAAGTCTGGGTCTGTGTAACCTGCCCCGCACGTTCTACAATCCTTCATAGCTAAACCCTGTGGACCAGTGTGCACAACGACTAATACTTAAGAGTGAATGAACAGTGAACACTAACAGCACACATTTATCAATATATATGCAAAAACAGATATCTTTGCAGGTGAAATCTTAAATGTAGTCAATATGGAGTTGCATGCAGAAATTTGGGTACCCCTGGTCACATGACATGTTTTATTGATTTTCTAATTAAAAAATAATTAACACATCCTCTACAGGGAACACACTTCTGCACAATTACTGATTATTTGCTGAATCTGACATATTGTAAATAAATAAAAAAAAGTAGCCTGTGCAAAAGTTATGGCCTATTTTATGTTTTATTTTTTTTCTATTAAACATTAAAATGAACAGAAAATGTGCATTCAAATTTGCAGGGGATGTTTTAACTCATTTTCACTATGAAATTCGTGCAATTTGACCAGGCTGTGTTTAAATTTTCCCAACTTTTGACTGTATAATATTTCTCATTTTGAGACTGTATAAGAATATTATAAGACTGTTCTAAATATTTCAAAACATGCTTTACTTATTCTAAATAATTTCATTCAGTGGCGTCGTCATTTTTCAGTGACAGACAGTTTTGCAAGCATTTTTTCTTCAAACAAGCAAAATTATCTGCAGTATTATTTTTTAAATGATCTGCCAATGGATTAAAATCTATTTGCTAGACAAAATTCATTAAAACTAGCAAATTAAATCTCTAAAGAATCTATTACAATAATATTTCTAGAATGATTTCTAGAATTTCACAATGAGAAATATTAAGCACATTGACTAGAAATAGACTAGATTTCACTGATTTTTTTTGCTGCATGAAAAAAATTCTGTATATTTTTGTTGTTGGGACAAAGACAGTAACTGTACAAGATTTCTTCCAAGTCATTTTAGACCATATCTGTTAGTCCATTCAGTATGTATTTAATAGAAGGTAAAGACAACTGGCATTTTCAAAATCTGCAAAAAAAAAAAGGTAAAAAACTGAGATTTTTGTCCCGACGATACCAAAAAAAGACACAAATCTTTGGCCTAAATTCTGTGAACTACTAAAAAAGTATTCTGTAGACATGATCTGGATGGACATATTGAATGCCGCCACTTCTCTCATCAGTATTCCACCGCCTGTGTGCCTGCTTCAGTTCCTCAGCCCATCAGAATCATGCCGGGTCTCCAGGGACGCCTCGCCACGTCACAAGACGCCTGTGGCCAGCAGTGTAAAGTGTCAACATTCATCTTGCCCAGCGGGACAAAATCTATCCCACCAGATTGTCCCCCCTTGTACGGTCCCAATGCAAAAGTTCAGTAAATCAGGGCTATCTGCCATTCGGCTGAGGGCTCAAAAAAATCCACCGGTCAGGCCGCAATTAATCTTCCACGCTGGACTAGCCTTGCTTTAACACTGAGAGTCCAAGAAGCTGAGATCATTTGGGATACAATACGTGCGGGTATGAGGTGAGAGATTCTACAAAGAGCAGGGCGTTATAACCTTGACCAGGTTTACAACCTTAACCTGGATTTTACAAGACCATTATTTTATTATCAATCATTTATCAGCTGGCCTTGTCTCCGGCAGTCTACTTGGGTTGTTTCATTTCATGTTCGCTATAGGTTTTAATGCGTTTATTGTACATGAAACGTCTTTATATACACTAAAACCCTGGAGTGCTATACAGTCAAAGTAAAGCATCCTATTCACTGTGTCGCTCTGAAGGCGCAATCTGTGTTTTTAAAACACGTCAAATAGGGACAAAAAACTGGCACTCTGTTCAATCCTAATTGGCTCGACAGATTTGAGAGTTCACATGGATAATGCCAGAGGGGCGTCCCATGCAACCAAATGGGGTCTAATTAGATAGAGAGTATTTATAGTTCCTTCTCTTCAAGTTGGCCTTTCCTGTGCGGCTGATTTACGAAAAAACAACACAGGTCTAGCATGTGGCATCTGCGTTTGTGGCGTGAGTCTTGTCAGAGAAGGTACTGACAGAGCTCTAATCAAGTAGACACCACCACAGAGGGGACAGGACAGGACTGTGATCCATGTTTGATTTACTGTCCCGCTACCTTGTCGTGACAGGATGTTGGTGGACATCTGCTAGGCCGGAGAGGATGTCAAACACGTTCTGTTATCATATCAGTTCGACAGTGTTACGCCGCATAAGCAGCAATAGGCCTACTCTTAATGCTCGGAGCAATAACAGATACAGTTTTCAATAGCAGTTGCCAATGGAGTGAGTCTTCAATAACCTCAAAATGTAATAATCCAAGCAGCCAAGTGGTGGGAAATTACTGAGAGATGGGGCAACAAGACACTCTTGCACAATGCTAAAATCTGTGTAAAGCTGGGGTTACATTACACGACTTTTCCTCCAATTATACTGTAGCTCCGAGCTCTATCTTTGCTGCTCAGCCCTAGTCTGCAGATTTTAGGGCAGCCAGAGTTGACAATTGCTGTGAAAAATGGAGAAGTGTGCAAGTGGCACAGACTCTAATATTTCGCCTCCTGAACGCATTTCAGACCTGTCAAAGTATATCAAACGTTTGATCCGACAGGAATCTGGATGTAATCTAGTAGTATAGGCTGGTGGTCAAACGCTCTTAATGTATCCCGGCAAAAGCCAAATATATATGCATATAAAAGTAAATACACACTGGAAATCACATACGTAGCGCGGCTATCAATAAATGGGTTTATGGCAGAATTACAATCGAGTGCAAATCACAAGCCCTGAGCCCAGTGACAGCTACCTGAGTTACCATGGTAACACCCTGCATCAGCCTGCAAACTCATTTACCACTGGTTTAAAAAAGGTTGTTCGTTTATTGACTTATTTCACGCAAAAACATGCTACCTCGTTAAACCCACCTGATTCAGCTCATCAGCCAATTAGCGAGGCCTTCGTGAAATGAATTCAGAGCATTGGTTAAGGGTAAACGCTAATCTCCGCAGCACTTTGGCCCGGAGGGTCCCCAGTTTGACACGCTTGCTCTAGATTAATACCGCATTTATTGTATCTAACATGGGTGAGACTGTTCTAGAAACATGGCTGTTGAGCTGCTCTGGTTAAACAAGCTCAGAAAGGCAATGCACTGTGCCACTGCAGCAGATAGATATCATGCCTTTACAGAAAGCGGCCTATAGTATAGTGTATGTTTTAGGACATCCCCAGTCCACACTGTCAGGTTTCAGACATGAGAAAAAACAGATATGGGTCTCTGGAAAATCACAGTCATATCTCAGCTCTCAAACAAATCGGACATCGGGTGAAACAGCCTCGGAAGAAAAGGCATCAGGCTAAGCAGCAACAGACACCACATCCTCAGACATTTACTATTCTGTAATTTTCAACTAGATTAAATACAGGTTTAAAGATGATAATATATCACAACCACAAATTTACTGAACTGCGCTTTATGTTCTTTTATTTGACAAAGATTAAAAGAATCCTTCTGGGAAAAACACTGGTTTAGAATTGAGGCCACTGAAGTCCAAACACGTCTTGGCTGATTGGCTACGTATGGGGCAAGTGGAAAATTGCGTAAATCTGATTTTTCGCTCAACCATTCCTTTAAGCTTCAGCTCACATACTATCCCGTGTGTTTGCTCCTGCATTCATTACCACAGTTATTTTCCACAAACGTACCTGAAAAAGAGAATTCTGTTACAGGCACAGGCCTAACGACTCTACTGGTCACGCCTCTCATCCATGACTTTACCCAAAGTGTTTTGCCCAACTCTTCTATCATATCAGCACAAACGGTGGTGAAAACAACAACAACAAAACATTCATTTTTGCTTTGCTGTCACTGCCTGCTGGTAATGGGAGAACGTGTTTTTTCTGCGAGTGTGGTGACTTCAGTTTAGCAACTAGTTACAAGCCTTTTAGTGTGTGATCCCCAATTATATCAGTCGCCATAAACCTCCACAAAAATCAGTCAGAAAGTGTCAGATACCCAGGCTAGACATAATCTGTTCAGATATGCAATAAATACGTTGTTAGCGGTGTAGCTGTCTCCTGTGTAAGAGTATGTACACTCAGAACCATTTACAATCATTATGCAATTCTGAAGTAAACATGTTTTATTTATCCCGCTGCAAAAATGTGCCTCTAATCATCATCAGCTTGTTTTTTTTTGTTTGTTTACTTCCCAGGCACAAACAAAGGTCCATGGTGACAAAGGTGCAGAACAATTATGCACCCCCCTCCCTCCTCCTTTGAGGAGTCGCAATTAGCGTAATCCAGCGCGACAATCGAAGGCAACAATCAAAAGGAACACCTACCCATGGCGAAGAAGGGGATTCCGAGCAGCGTGGAGTTGAACTTGCCGTCGGAGATGAAGAAGATGCCCGCGGCCGTCACGTTGGCGATGCAGATGGTGAGCACGCCCAGAAGTCCCAGGAAGGGCTTGCCCCGCAGGCAGTCGCGCATGGAGCTGGAGATGGTGGCGGCCAGCAGCACAAGCACCAGGCTGACCAGCACCTCGCTCTTGGCCAGCACGCCCGTCTTGTGGAAGTCCCGCCACAGGCTGAAGGAGGTGAGCGACTGGATGTACAGGTCCTGGCTGGCCGTGGCCAGGCGGTGCGCCAGCTTGCAGAACTCGTTCTCCCACTTCTCGGCGATGGCGTCCTGCACCATGGGCCGCAGGTTGCGGAGGTAGTAGGTGATCTGGATAGCGCGGGCCGACTTGACCTGCTGGTCTCGGCTGTGCGGGGCCAGGACGACACTGCCCAGCTGGTGGCCGATGAAGGCCACTCGGCCATCCTGGAGATAAAACAGACAGATGTGAAATACAGTGGGGATGAATAGGGATACCTCGATCCGATCCAAAAGGCTGGTGTCATAAACGATTGAGGCATGTTTTAATAGATTAGTTAATGCTACTGATAACAAAAGCATCGTGCAATTCAATATTAATTATTTATCACTCAGAGCTCATTAAAATAAGCGGAGAAATCCTTTCAAAAGCGCAGATACAAAACTCTCAATGCACATTTGAGTTTTTAAGTAGAAGAGATATTTTATTATGATGGAATTTGATAGAAAGGTTTTGCTGTGTGAACAGTTTTGTGGAAAGAAAAAAGCATTCTTTCTGTTTTTTGCCATTTTTCGAACCAAACAGAAAAAAAAATCTGAATTGCAGAATCCAATCTGTTCATTAAGACTGTAAATCAAACTAAACAGGACTAATTAGGACTAATTAGACATGCAGTTGGAAATTGTTTTTAAGTATGGAAGATATCCACGATGTGCTTAGAAAAGCTTATTATGATGTATTGTGACATACTGTATAAAAGTGTACTGTATAGCAAAACAGTAATAACGTTTGACTTCTAAGGGTTAAGCCTAATCAAATTCTAATCCTTTCTTTATCCCATTGCACTAGATTTACTGATGCAGACATGATATAGAGGATATCATCCACAACTTCGGGCAGTAAGGCATGTTTTCAAAAATTAGCAAAGCAGTTTAAATGTCAGTGTGGAATTATTTGTGGAACTAGCAATAAAAACATAAGTGGAAAATGTAAAAACAGCCCAACAGCCACTTGTCATAACTGCAGTGCCAGTGTTTTGACCTCACTTAGGCTAGAAAACCACAATTTACAGCCACAGATAGGCTTACAATGTCAGTGCATTATTACACACAGACATAACAGCACAATCAAAGCTGAAAGGATGTTTGAACAACTCGAAATACAAAAATAGTGTGTTCTTTAGTTAGTTTAATATAGTTATGCTCTATTGTTATTTTACCTGGTCAACGAAGAACGACGTCAGAGAGTATCTCACTATGCAAGTACCAAAAATGAAGTGATTCTACTGTATAATTGTAATGTAACTGGTAGACAGCAAACTAGACCTTTAGGTCCATATTAAAAACGGCAATTTTATAGTCCAAAAAAATCGGATCAGAGTCACATTATGAACATAGTAAATATGAAGTAATTTTACTACAGCATTTTAAAGCAATCCAGTCTATTGGACTGGTTTTACTAACTTAAATGCATGTGAAGTATGCATGAATGTGCGACTGCATTACCTATGAAAGTCCAAATATCAATGACTCACACTGGAATATCACCCTAATTTCTCCTTATCAGCTTTTATTGGACATTTGACATGTTTGCGAGGTTTGGGTGAGCTATTTCTTTAACACTTGTATTTTAAAGCTTTGATTTGTGCTGTGATATGGACGTCTGGCTGTGATCTATGACTTTATGGTATTGGTCTAGCTGCTGAATGGAGTATGTATGTGGTAAATCTATAACTATGTAAAATGTGTACAGCGGATAGGAGCTTAGGGTTAAATTATTTTCGGAGAAGACACATCTGAGGTAAGCCAAAGATAGATGACAGATATTTCAAGCAGAGATGTATGACGTGGGTTGCCAGCCCTTAGGTAAAAAAGCAGATGCCTCGGACAAATGAAGCAACCATTTCTTGCCACATCATGGAAATGGAACAAAATGACTGGCCCCCCACTTTCGCCTATAGCACTACTGGAAATAGCACATTACAGGAATTTGGAGGCTGAACTGGAACATGAGAAACAATTTTATAGAGTAAAAAGTTGCTTTTCAGTTACTTATTTGCTATTATTCTCATTACTACTTTAATAAGTTCACTATTTATTGATAAAGCTAAGAGTGTATCGTGCCTATATGGACACATGGTGCTCATATATTTCCCCAGGACTTCTGAATTTTCTTCTAGGCATTTCATAACATTGTGATAAAACTGGTGGATGGAGCCTCCGGCAAAAAAAGGACCCATAAAGCCAGGCCAGTGAACCAAATTTGGGTGTCAGGCAAGGCATTTATCCGTGTCCACACAGGTTTTAGCCACCTAAGCCAAGCAAGCCCTCAAGACAAACTGCAAACGTCCACAACAGTGGTGGAAGGCCTGAAAAATCCCCTATACCAGCTGTCAGTCACAACAACACCTCGTCTTCAACAAATGGAGAAGGCTTGGAGTGTCAGAGCAGGTCACTTCAAGCGGCTATGCATTTTTAAGCAGTTGTAGTTTTGCATCAAAACCGAAGGGGCCTCAGAAGGTTCAGTGTCGCAGAGGCACTCTGAACTGAACTGAGTGCAACATGGGCAGCTGCTATCAGCCTCGAATGCAGCAAAACAGCCTGAAGATGTTCTGGTAAAGGGTGACGTGGTACGATCGAATAGCTTCCATTTACGTCTCTCAGCAGCCACAGTGACGAGGTATCTCGTTCTCTAATGTGAGACGCCTTCATTGGCTTTACTGCTGCAGATCCTGGTCCATAATAACAATGACAGTTTCAGAAAATGTATGCAAAAAGACAACCCCTCAAATTGTAGGGAGCTGGAGATGAATCGATAGGTATCGGTATCAGGACGATAGTATCAGTAGGAAATGCTGAATTGGTTATTGGATGAAAAAATAATTCTAATTCGATCTTGTAAGAAATCTAGCCTGAAAAAATACCCAGTGTAGCTGCGTTACAAAGCCGAGGCCGCAGCCGAGGTAGTGCAGGTCCATGGTAGGACTGTCCTATGAAGACTCCTCCTTAGTAGCCTATTGGTCACACAAATGGAGCAGTCCTAACGAGGCTGCGTGGTGATGTCGCCAGAGCGGCGCCAAACTCGTGAGGGGACTGGTGAGAGAAAATGGAGCCGCTGCATTGAGTTTATTGCTTTTTCATTTCTTCGCGGAAATGGAGGAGACGTTCTTATGTAGTACGACAAACTACATATTTACAAATACTTCGAAATAAAATACGATATACGGACGACGTACGATATATGGACGAATTATTTAATTAATCAGTTGTTTTACACTTTATAAGGTAACGAAGATGAATTTGATTTCCACTATTGTCCTTCGCTTTGTTTGTATGCAGAGAACTCTGGGTAACCGAAGGCCTGGAAGGATACATCTGATGCGTCCTTGAAATCTCTCAGAACGTCGGCTGCATTTCTAGGATGTATATAAAGGGTGGAACGGCCTGCTACTTCGGCTGCAGCCTAGGCTTTGGAACGCAGCTGATGTGATGTTAGCTGTGTATTTCTGTGGGGTAGCAGAGAGTCCGAGCAGTTTGAGCATGACAGCCTACTTTTGGGTGATCATATTAAGCGAAGTGCGTCAGTTAAAAACAGCTCATTTTAAAGTTTTGTTGTTTTTTAAGAAAAACTATTGGATCAGTATTGGATCATGAGTTTTCAGTATCGGTATCGGTATCAGTATCGTAAAAGAAAAAGCGTGCCAGCTCTACAGGGAGCTGCTGAAACACACATGGAATAGCTTCGGATTGTGCTGCATTGAGCTCTGGGCGCACAATAGATGCAGAGTACAGGGGACATAATGAGGATACACATTTACATGCCAACCTACATTCATAAAAAAGAAGCACCAGCAGTAAAGAGAAGAGCCTGTGAGTAATTTGTAGCCCTGCTGCTAACAGAACAAGTACATCAGCAACAACGGTCAACCATGGAAGCTGCTCCCGCCAGCCTATGCTTTTTTCTCCCTTCTCTGTTTCTGCAGCAGTGTGTCAAAATATTGACTTAGTATCTCAGATTATTGACGTATTTTCTCAAAGTAATTATTTATTTTCTTGAAATGCTGAATGGAATAATCCCACATTTAAAAAAAAAGGCTTTTTTTAATGTGAGATACATTTCAAAATGTATTCCAAATACTGGATTCCAATATCACTGCAAATATATTCATTATACTGAGGTATATTAAGCAACACTTTTTGGCCATTTTCAGACATTTTCAAATGTATCTGATAAGCACACTTTACATGTATTTCTTGTGACTTATTTTCTCGACATACCAACTTAGTATGTTGAAATACTGACATATTATGTCAAAGTAATTACTTAGTGACTCATAATAATGACTTATTAACCCAAAGTAATTACTTAGTGACTAATAATAATGACTTATTAACCCAAAGTAATTACTTAGTGACTCATAATAATGACTTATTAACCCAAAGTAATTACACTTTCTTAAATATTAACTCATTATTTTAACATAGTACAGGGGTCAGCAACACACGCCTCCGGAGGGGCTCCGCTTGGGGCTCTTTTACTGTCCTGTTGTGGCTCCACAGCAGAATCAGATTTGTAGCTAAAAATAAAATAATCCTCCTTTACAGTAAAATAAAGCTCTGCTGATCGTTCAACACAGTCTAACAATAAATGGTCTTAAACACTGGAGTTAATGTAGAACTGATAATTCACCCTTTAACCCTGAAGATCAGCGCAGACTGCTGGTCACCATAGCAATGCAGACAACGATCTCACCTAGCCAGTAGCTAACGAAACAGCAAAGGCAAAGATTTAAGACGAACAGTGATAATTTGGAGACGAATGGACTCATTTACATTTATAATCACTCCAGTTTGTTTCCTGATGCGTTTAATCTGCAATGAGAAGCTATCAAACACTAAAAAGTCACGTCTTACTCGAATTGTCCCGTTCCACCTTAAATGATGCAGCAGTTGCATTCTGGCACCTCAGGCATCATTTAAGGTGGAACGGGAAAATTCGTACAAAAAGCTGACAAATGAGAAGCGACTTCAGCCTCGTAAAAAGTCAAACGTTGCTCTACTTTTGCAGAAAGGTTTCCTGCCAGAGATGTGAGAAAAGCGGCTATAGCTGAGCTAAAGCTTAAAGCAGAGCAAAGTAAGTCGTTTATATTATGTTTTTAGCCTATAATATTACATCAGCATGTACTGAGACATATTTACAGCCAAGATGGTAAAATGGACATAAAATATTGTGGCTCAAAAGGTGGTTTGATTTTTGTTCAATGGACAAAATGGCTCTTCTTACTATTTGGGCTGACATAGTGTCTCAAAATCCCGAGAAAAGAAGCCACTATTTTGAAATACGAAGTCAACATTTCAACAAATTGTCATTATTTCGAGCTACTGAGTCAAAATTTAGAGAAAATAAGTCATAAAATTGGAATACTAAGTATTGTAACATACTGCAGCCAGAAACACAGCAGGAGGGGAAAAAACCACAGCCGTTTTTTCTCCTCTGCGTGGCGAGAACGGGCTTCCACGTTCAGCTGAAGAAGCAGCAGCCCAGCAGTGACGATGTCAATGCAGGCTGGGTGAGAGTGGCCGTGGTTTCCCAGCGAGTCCAGCTCCACGGCGTTCCCCGAGTGCAGTGCAGGACTCTGCAGCTGATTCATAACACGCGCACACACACACACACATGCACGCGCACACTGAGACCCGCAGCAGCAGTGGAGTGTGTTGACAACCAGGGTTTACCCCGGGGGCAGGAAGGGCACTTCCACACACCGTCACTGCCGGACTGCCTGTGGCTTCAGCCTTAGCGTTTGTTCGGTTAGCAGCGAGGCTACAAACACAGCGCTCAGCCGGCGGCGGCTGTTTTTATGAATGTGCGCTAATATGAACAGGTGCAGGCTGTGCTCGGCGTGTCCTCTGAGGCCGGCACTGCAACTCCGGTCACAAAGCGGCTCGGTCCGTGTCTGTTTCCGCAGCTCCCTCCAACTTGAGGGGGGTGGTTTGCTCTGTGGAACCACCGTAACAGAACTGCAGCAACAAAGCTAACGAGACACACACACACACACACACACAGACACACACACACACACACACACGAGGAGAAGTCACCACCACAGTCAGAGAGAAACGACTTCGCGAGCTGCTCTCGTTCATTCCACAACATTTTTTGCTGCATCCGAGGAGACGAAGGCGGACCATGAACCCCGCGCCGCACCGCAGCTCCGCTCCACGTAACGAAGTTCCCAGCGTGTCAACCAGCAAAAACGGCAGATTTCGTAAAAGGGGGGCGTGTGTGGTGTAGGGGGTGGGGGGTGGGGGGGTTCCTCTACCTTTAACGTCGTGTTGGGGTAGCTGACGGGCACCTTGGCCAGCGTGCTGTTGGCGAGCACGGCGGCGCGGATGTCCTCGAAGACGGCGAGGATGTCGTCGAGCACGCAGCGCTTGTCGCGGTGGCGCAGCACGCAGAGGTGCGCGAACGTGTAGTTGAAGCCCTTGTGGCTCACGCGCAGCTCCAGCACCTGCCGGTGCACGTGCAGCACCTGCTCGGCCAGCTCCAGGATGTTGCCGCCGGCCTTGGCGAGCAGGATGAGGCGGCCGTAGCGGCCGGGCGTGTGCAGGTCCGAGTAGAGCTTGTGCTTGGAGCGCTCGATGGGGAAGAGGCTGTTGGCGAGGCTGCGCTCGATCTTGGCCAGGCTGTGCGCGGGCGCCACGAGCGCCTCGAGCTCCGTCTCGGGCTGGAAGCGGCTGAGCGCCGCGGAGCCGAACACCACGGTGAGCACGGCGGGCACGGTGAGGAAGAACACGGGGTGGCGGCTGACGAACAGGCCGAGCCAGTAGAAGGACGCCTTGAGCCCGCGGTGGATCGCCTGCCGCAGCATCCTCCTCCTCTTCTCCCTCCTCCTCCGCCTCCTCCTCCTCTGGATCCGGCTTGCAGATGCCCCGCGCCTCGCTGCCCAGCACCTGTGACACGTGGCCGCTGGCTCCTCCGCTTTCTCTCTCTCTCTCTCTCTATCTCTCTCTCTCCCCCCTCCTCGGTTCGCTCCGTCCGTTCGCGGGGAGGGGGAGAAACGAAAGAAAGAAAGAAAGGAAGGAAGGAGAGAAAAGAAAGGAAGAGAGAGCTACAAACCCGCTCTGTACCTGTTACCCTGTTACAGCGCTGCAGCGTTTCGCAACGAGACGGTCAGATATTGATCAGCCCCCGTTTTGTTTCATCTCGAGCCATCCCTCCCTTCCTTCTTCCCCTCTTCTTTGCCTCCTTCCCTCCCACCCCCGCCGGCCCCCCCAGCCCCGCGTTTTAAACCGGCGATGTGAGCGACTCGTTCTGCTGCAAGAGCAGCAAAACACCTCCCGATGCTCTCTCATGTGCACGCGCGCCTCATTCCGCACTCCACGAAGCGGTGGAGCCTCGCTTAATGGAGCTGGACTGCGAGCTGGGGTGGGCTGTGGGTTGATAGAGGCAACACGAAGGGGTGGGAGGGGAGAGGGGGGTGGCCAGAAGGGGGGAAAGCACCATGGAAGGGGTAGAGAGAGGAGTCCCGGGGGGCTGGTGGATGGACCTTCTTTTGGAGAACCCACTGTAGATGCTTAAATTACACTTTTAAAACAGATGGTGGAGAATGTGTTATGTATGGTTCTATCTAGAACCTTTTTGAAAAAGAAAGGGCAAGCTTGACGTCTTAACAATAGAAGAACTGTTTTGGTGGTATATAGAACCATATACGCTCTTGGTTCTTCAAAGGCTCTTTGGGAAAGAGTGGTTCTATATTGAATCATGAACACTCAAAGAACCCACTGCATGATGAAATGGTTCTTCAGATTGATGGACAATATGTTGTATACGGTTCTCATCATCATAACAATAGTAGACCCTTTTTCAGAAAGCGTCTATATACACTTTTAAAAAAGATGGTTCTCCAATAAAGAAAATGGTTCTATATAAAACCATGAACACTTAACGAACGCTTTGCATGATTAAATGGTTCTGTGGGTTCTTCAGATTGATGGAGAACGTGCTGTAAATATTTCTACATAGAACCTTTTTGAAAAGGGTTCTTCTATTGTAACAAACTTGATGTCATCACAATAGAAGAACCCTTTTTAGTGCTATATAGAACCCTTTTCAGAAAGCTTCTATATACACTCTTAAAAAGATGGTTCTTCAGTGAAGAAAATGGTTCAATATAGAACCATGAACACTCAAAGAACCCTTTGCATGATTAAAGGGTTCTTTGCATCGTGAATAGGTTATATTGACGGAGAATGTGCTGTAAATATTTCTACATAGAACCTTTTTGAAAAGGGTTCTATGTAGCACCAAAAAGGGTTCTGCCATTGTGATGATGTCAAGTTTGTAACAATAGAAGAACCCATTTTCGTGCTATATAGAACCCTTTTCAAAAAGCTTCTATGGTGAATCATATACAATCTTAAAAATGATGGTTCTTCAAAGGTTCTTAGTAGAACTGGTTCCATACAGAACCATGAACACTCAAAGGATCTTTTGCATAATTAAAGGGTTCTTTGCATCATGAATGGGTTCTTCAGTTTGATGGAAAATGTGCTATAAATAGATCTACATAGAACCTTTTTGAAAAGGGTTCTTCTGTTGTAACACACTTGACATCATCACAATAGAAGAACCCTTTTTAATGCTAGATAGAGCCATATACACTTAAAAATGATGGTTCTTCAAAGGTTTTTAGCAAAGAATGGTTCTATATAGAACAATGAACACTCAAAGAACCCTTTGCATGATTAAATGTTTTTTTGCATGATGAAAGGTTCTTCAGATTGATGGAGAATGTGTTGCATGAGGTTCTATATACCACTGAAAAGGGTTCTGCTATTGTTGTGATATCAAGTCTCTTTTGGTGCTATATATAGGCCTTTTTAAAAAAGCTGTAGAACCAAAAAAACATTTAAGCACAAAATGGTTCTATACAGAACTCACACTTCTTATTCGAACCATTGCCTTTACTAAAGAACCTTTGATGGTCTTTTTAAGAGCATACATTAAGCTTGCATTTCAATAAATACCTATGAAATATATCTTCATTTTTCCTAACCATAAACACTCTCTCTAACCCTGACCTAAACCTCAGCCCAGAACCTAATCCTAATTTAAATCCGGTCTTAAACCTAACCCTAACCTTAACAGTATCGAGAGTCAGCAAGCCTTTAACTTCCGTTTAGCTAAATATCTATTAAATTAATCTTAATTTTTCATAACGCCCACTCTGACCCTTAACCCTAATTCTAAACCCATCCTAGCCCCAGTCCTAACACTACTGAGAATCACCAGATAGCCTGTTAATCATTTGAACATGTGTAGTATAATAAAGTGGGACCCTTTCTTGAGACGGCACTTGATTACTAATGGATGAAGTGCACTTTGATTAAGAACCATATGAAGAACCTGCTTTTAAAGGAGGGTGCAGAGGAGCAGCTGTAGAGCGCTGCAGTGGCTGCTGGATGCCACTTTCTTGAGATGGCCTGTGATGGATGAGGTGTTTTGTGAATGCACATCAAGCCAGATAGGCTTTGGAGGCTCAGGGTGGGGGAACATCTGCACGGTTCCACTGACAGCAGCAGTGGGAAGAAAAGGACGTTGTGTTTCCAGATGAAACAATAACATTTTGTTGTTTCAGTGAAGCCTGGTGATCAGTTAATTAGGGGGTGATGACCGACTAAAGCGTAGTGGACAAGCAGTGTAAGCTGCATCTTTTAGGAATGATATAGGGCATCTGATCTTGGGGTTTTGAGGTGTGAGGAACATATGAACCATTGTACTGTGTAATGCCCTTTGTTAATTAATGTTATATTGATTATGCTTTGTAGGGCCTTGAGCTGTATTTGATGATATACTGGCTTTGGAGTCGTTCTTCAGACTACAGAAAGACAAAGGCCCAATTCCATTTCACCCCTCACCCCTACCTCTTAGCCCTTAGCCCTCGGTTTTGCGCGTTCACGTCTAGGAGTAGAGTGTGCTGATTTTTGTTGAGATAGAGGGGTAGGGTGAAGTGTTTGGGCTGCATGACCCTCAAAATGGAGGGTTATGGGAAAAAAAGAAAAACAGGCAAGACTAAACAAATACATCGATCAGGCATAACATTATGACCACCTCCTTGTTTCTACGCTCATTGTCCATTTTATCAGCTCCACTTACTATATAGGTGCACTTTGTAGTTCTACAGTTACAGACTGTAGTCCATCTGTTTCTCTGCACAGTTTGTTAGCCCCCTTTTACCCTGTTCTTCAGTGGTCAGGACCCCCATGGACCCTCACAGAGCAGGTACTATTTGGGTGGTGGATCATTCTCAGCACTGCAGTAACACTGATGTGGTGGTGGTGTGTTAGTGTGGGTTGCGCTGGTGCGAGTGGATCAGACACAGCAGTGCTGCTGGAGTTTTTAAACACCTCAGTGTCACTGCTGGACTGAGAATAGTCCACCAACCAAAAATATCCAGCCAACAGCGTCCTGTGACCACTGATGAAGGACTGGAGGATGACCAACACAAACTGTGCAGCAGCAGATGAGCTATCGTCTCTGACTTTACATCTACAAGGTGGACTGACAAGATAGGAGTGTCTAATAGAGTGGACAGTGAGTGGACACAGTGTTTAAAAAACTCCAGCAGCACTGCTGTGTCTGATCCACTCATACCAGCACAACACACACTAACACACGACCACCACGTCAGTGCTGAGAATGATCCACCACCCAAATAGTACCTGCTCTGTGAGGGTCCATGGGGGTCCTGACCACTGAAGAACAGGGTAAAAGGGGGCTAACAAACTGTGCAGAGAAACAGATGGACTACAGTCTGTAACTGTAGAACTACAAAGTGCACCTATATAGTAAGTGGAGCTGATAAAATGGACAATGAGCGTAGAAACAAGGAGGTGGTCATAATGTTACGTCTGATCGGTGTACACAATGGAGTAAGTATTTTCTACGTTAAAAATTACGATAACCATTGTATTTTTTTAATTTAATGTCATTTCAATGTATTATGGTCGTTTTCTTCATAACAAGCACAAATATTCACTAATAGTATGCTAATGTCTCAGTAGCTAGTTAGCTAAATTTCACATTCCACCTTAAATAGTCCAGCAGTTCTGACGTATAAAGTGCCAGATTGTAACTGCTGCTCCATTTAAGGTGGAACAGGGAAATTCGAATGAGAAGCTGGCGAACAGCTGACTCCAGTTTCATAACACTGAAGAATTAGGGGTGGGTGATAATAAACAATTATCACACCCCCCTCTCTGAAGGCGTATGATTCCCTAAATGTAACTAAAGCCCAGCAGTGAGGAGCTGAACTTTACCCTCCTCTGCTGTCACTGCAGACTGGCAGGGTCGCCTGCAGAGCAGCGCCAGTAGCTGTTAATGAAGTGATGCTCTTTTTATTTGAGGGTCCCGTTTCAGAGGGAAGATTTCAACCACTACCCCTTGTAAGGAGACAAGGAGACACTCGAAAACAAGGGGTAGGGGTGAAAATAAGACATGGGATTGGGCCAAAATCTCATGAAACCATTCAGGTAACATATTTGAATGGTCACATCCAGAATCGTATGTCAGGAACCCTACAAAGAACCTGTTTTTGAAAGAGAGACATTGTAAACTGCTTACTTATTTTTGCAGCAGTACAGTATTGACTCTTTTCCAGAAGCTTCACCGAGATTAAGAACTCCATAAAGAACCTGCTTTAAGAGGGGATAGAAGAGGGGCTGGAGTCTCAGTGGCTGGTGGAGGGACACGTTCTTGCGATGACACTCAATTACTAATGGATTTTGTGTTGTGGTGGGCTCAGGGCTGGCAAGCTCGATAGGCTTACACAGTGCAGGCTGAGGGTGGAGCAACATCTACAAGATCCCAGTGACAACA